TATAAATTGTATATATATGTCACATATAAATTGACCATTTGTTATAGCATTGATTCTATGTATTGTTTTGTATGAGCAGGTAATCTGTGGTACAGACATGGTGTGACCCCCAGTTACCCTCAGGGCTCATCATGGGAGCACATCTCCAATAATGTGCGCAAGGTGTCTGTGGGACCTCTGGACCAGGTCTAGACCATTTCCTTATAACTAGTTATTGCAGTCTAACTACTGCAGGTTTGCTGCTCTGCTTAATGCCAGATTTGTTTTTGTTTTTTCTTAAGGTATGGATCATTGCGGATAAGGTGCAGGGCAGTCACAGTTTGAGCTGTGGCACTGTGTGTCGCCGACTGGGGTTGCTGCCGATGGAACCCAAAGGACACTCGTGGGACTATGGCATTGGGGTGAGCACTGTCTTTACGCTCACTTCTCACTAACAGTACTGTGCAGAATGGATAGAAAATAAGAAATCATCTGTTTCTTTCAGGGCGGATGGGATCATATAACAGTCAGAGGAAATGCCATGGAGGCACCTCGCATTCTGATGCCATCCCTGACTGACAACCAGACAGCAACACGGCCACTGCAAACCAGTAACCAGCCAGAGATGAACGGGAACCCAGTGGGATGTTAGTCAAACTGCTGAGCTCTTTATGCTAACCGTCTCTACTGTAGCCATGTAGAAGTTTTCTTCCCTTCTGTAGCGCTTCTCTTGTTTAGAGCAGAATTACTCAATCCCACTTAACAAATCGTGCGACTCGAGCTCCCGCACATGCAGACGACTCTGTGGTTTTGTTTGTACCTCAGCTGAATTCACATTTTCTAGTTAGTTTGAAAGATGTTTTCTCCTTTTGAGGGCTCTCATGGATATTGAGGCCACTTCCAGTAATGCCCTCTCCTTTTTAACACTCCCATCATTCGTCATTATGTTTTTTACATAGTACTTTTGTTTAGAGGATCTTAATTTAATGTTTATTTATTCGTCTGTGGTAAAATCACGATTGCCCGTATGCTTTTTTGATTTTTTTTATTTGAATTCAGGGGCATTAAATACAAAAGGTCACAGTGTAAGCTACTGTAGGTACACTACAAGCATTTTATATTAAACATCACACACAAACAACATTTTTAAACAAACACCTGCTTCTGGGAATTTTAAACATCGGTTTAAGCATAAAAGAGTCTGTAATACTTTCATCATCTGCTTGTATTGGGTTATTGGTTATGTTCTTAGTCAAAGCTGAGAGCACCGTGGTACTGAACAAATACACTATAGTTCCAAAATCTGGGGTCAGTAAGATTTTTTTTTTTAAAGAAATGAATACTTTAATTCAGCAAGGATATAAAAAATGGACTAAAATGACAGTAAAGGATTTTATATTGTGAAAGAATTTGGTTTCAAAAATAAATGCTGTATTTTTGACCTTCCTATTCAGAATCCTGCAAAAAAAAAACTCACGGTTTCTACAAAAATATTAAACAGCTTAACTGTTTTCAACATTGATAATAAGAAATTGTTACTTGAGCAACATGTATTGGGTTATTGGTTATGTTCTTAGTCAAAGCTGAGACAGCACCGTGGTACTGAACAAATACACTATAGTTCCAAAATCTGGGGTCAGTAAGATTTTTTTTTTAAAGAAATGAATACTTTAATTCAGCAAGGATATAAAAAATGGACTAAAATGACAGTAAAGGATTTTATATTGTGAAAGAATTTGGTTTCAAAAATAAATGCTGTACTTTTGAACTTCCTATTCAGAATCCTGCAAAAAAAAAACTCACGGTTTCTACAAAAATATTAAACAGCTTAACTGTTTTCAACATTGATAATAAGAAATTGTTACTTGAGCAACAAATCAGCATATTTGAATGAGTTCTGAATGATTATGACAGAATTTTCGCGATATATTACAGTTTTTATTTTTGATCAGATAAAAGCAGTGGTGAGCATAAGATACTACCAAAAAAAAAAAAGGAAAAATAAATTAAAATCTTACCGACCTTTGAGTTTTGAATGGTAGTGCATGTTCAGACACTTATTTAGCTGTTGTCATTGATGAAAGAGTGCAATATTTACTTTTGCACTTGAAAATGTGAAGACAATGTTGTGAAACATTTCTCAGGATGTCAGCCTATTTCATTTATACATAGATATATATATATATATATGTGGTTTAATTCCTTTTAAAGGCAGCACAAATTTTAAAAAGTAACAGTGTTTATAACAAATCTTTCCAAATGGTTTTATTAGGATGAATAGTTAGTTGTATTCCTCTTCTGCTAAGTTATATTGTACATGTGGATGTATACATTTTGAATATTTATGGGTAATTTATGGTCCTAATGTGAAACTGCATCAATTGTGTGACATCCTATAGGGCATTATTTATAGTTGCTTCTGTACATATAAAGAACGTTATGCAGGCATGAGAGAAACCATTAGAAAAAGAAAAGGATAATATAGTTTGAAATTATTAAACGTAGACAAATAACAGGGTAAAGAGTCATTATTTGAGTAAACTCCTCTCGGTGTCATATGTGCATGGTATGTGTCCTCAATAAATATGAAATCTTCTCCAAAACTTTGCATTTTTAATATGAAATACTCCCCCTGTTAAAGGGATAGTTCACCCAAAAATTATAATTTTACTCACCCTCATGTCATTCCAAACCTGTATGACTGTATTTCATGGAACACAAACGAAGATGATTTTTTTGTTTGTTTGTTTGTCCATACAATGAAAATCAGGGGTCCAGTGTTGTTTTGGACCCCATTGACTTTCACTATATGAGCAAAGCATCTTCTTTTGTGACGTTTTTGGGTGAACTACATTAATGACCAGCAAATTGTGTCCCTTCATAATCCAAAGAGTTAGTGGCTAGTAATTTAACAATGATGATGGCAAATAAGTACCACATTGTTTGTGGGCAATATAATCTGTGCAAATTCTGTACATAAATGAGCCTGTTTATGGACCAGCTTTAGCTTGTAAACTCAGGGTTATTCAGATGGACCCTTTTGTTAGTCCTCAGAGCTGGTATTCATCATCATGCATGCATTTACACAGCGCTCACTGAGTCTGTGGCAGCGTGTGTTAGCTGCCCTGGTTGAAGCTGTGAATATGGCTCAGGTAGTTGGACAGATCCTCCTCTCCCTCCTCCTGTAGATGCTGCTGATAGCACTGCAGGAGCCGGGAGGCCTGAGTCTCCATGTCACTCTCGGCGTGAGGCAGGCAGGCGTTCGACATGCCCAGGATTATTGTGGTTAAGGCCTTGATGTAGTTCTTTGCCAGCGTGAGAGTCTCGATCTTGGAAAGTTTCTTGTCTGTTTTGACGTGAGGAATGGCCTCCCGTAGGGCCTGAAAGGCGTTGTTGAGTTTGTGCATCCTCTGCCTCTCTCTCTCGTTACTCTCCAGCCTGCGAACGTTGCGTTGCTTAGCGCTGCCGTGCTGCCTCCTGCGACGTGTGCCCACGCGGGAACCACCGTGTCTCTCGCCCCTCAATGTTCTCCATGTCCCTCCCAGCCTCACGGACGCCTCTGAACCCTCCTGCTCGCTGGAACCTGGCTCTGTTTCCAGCGTAAAGTCTGGGTCGTCCTGCTCTGCCCAAGACTGTCTGCCCCGCTTTGACCTCTTTCCTTTGGACTTCATACTTGACTCACCCACACCCTGGTGTAGGCCCTAGGATATTATCATTCACATTTGATTGGAGTTAACATGCAAAATAACATTATATGTGACCCTGGACCACAAAACCAGTCACAAGTAGCACGTGTATATTTGTAGCAGTAGCTAACAATACACTGTATGGGTCAAAATGACCGATTTTTCTTTTATGCCAAAAAATCATTAGGATATCAAGTAAAGATCATGTTCTATGAAGATATTTTGTAAATTTCCTACCGTAAATATATCAAAACTTAATTTCTGATTAGTAATATGCATTGCTAAGGACTTCATTTGGACAGCTGAAAAGGCGATTTTCTCAATATTTAGATTTTTTTGCACCCTCAGATTCCAGATTTTCAGATGGTTGTATTTCGACGAGATATTGTTCTATCCTAACAAACCATACATCATCAATGGAAAGCTTATTTATTCAGCTTTCAAATTATGTATAAATCTCAATTTCGAAAAATTTACCCTTATAACTGGTTTTGTGGTCCAGGGTCACATATATCTATACAAATGGCTTTAATACAGTGGATACTAAAAATGGTATGTTATAGGGATTAAGTACATCTCAAGTGCTTGTTTGAACATCCTGTACTAACTGGTTAGTTCTTCTATCTAGATAATGTGTAGCCTAATATCCTTCCCTAGTTAGTTACACTATAGTAGCATCTCATTCATCCCTGCTTAACGGTTATCCGTTCAAAATTGTAAAACTTTGGCTTTGTCAGAAAATACTGAAAAATCCACTATTGATAATGAAATAAACTGTTGATAATGAATCAGATGCTGACACAATCAAGTGAACAACGAAAATGCACATTGTCTCTATACGTTGTCGCTTCTGTCTTATAAGCTGTCAATCATCTCAGCTGTCGGGAAACAAAGTTGCTTACCTTGAAATAAATGTCCACCAAACTGGTGACGTGTGCGCGATAAGAGGCTTGCGGACAGCGATAATGAGTTGTCTTCCTGACAGCCGCAGTCAGAATGAAATGATAACGGTCACGCGCTCTACCTGTTGCAGCTCGATGTCCACGTAGCGCTTTTGTGGCCAATCAAAGGAGGGATCCGTTTCGTCTCGAGTCACCCATGAGCTGGCGCAAGCATCGGAAATAGCGATCTGAAACTTTGTTCAGACTTTCAGATGATGATAATATTGGGTCTGTGATACAGCTGCTGCTGCTGCTGCTGCAGGTGGTATATGCAGTGCGCAGAGTTGACAGTGCAAATCACATACTGTTGCATTACATTAGTGGGGACTTTCCACTGATAAACATGAGTAAGTTTATTTAGATTAATTATTTTATTTTGGCAAGAAAGAAAAAGACAGACGTGGTAGTGGTGGGTTTATGCAGATGATTAAATTGGTAGGTTGTACTATTTCCACGGTACTTTATCAAGTGAAATATTTGCTTAGTCCTTTGCATTTCAAATGGGCCTTGCAGACATATCATTTAAGCACTTTTCAGAGCTTTACTTTATGGTGATGCATTCGTTGCACTATGTCCGTACTTTCTTCTGCACTGGAAGCTCCTGTCATCAAGTCAAATTCGTTATGTGTGTAAACATACTTGGTAATAAAGCTCTTTCTGACTTGTATTCGTTTACTTTTTGACATTAGGCTCTTCAGATCACTGTATTGGTTTCTGCATTCTTCAATAAAGCTATGTTTTTAAACCAGGGGAAAATAGTTTATTCTGCTTTCACTTTGTTACATTTGCAGTACATTTATGCATTTGGCAGAGATTAAAATAAGTGGTTGTGATTAATCTCATTTCCTGTTTGAGGAAAGAAAATGTCTAATATAGGTTTTGAAGTGACTTAAAATTATATATATTAAAAAATGTCTTACTGATGGGGCTGCGAGGATTAATACAATTTTAAAAAATATATATATAAATAAAAAATAAAAGAAATACATTTGAAATGAAATTTGAGACACTGTTTTAAAGCACCAGATTCATGGTTGTCTAAAGAACAAAAACTTAAGAAAATAAAAAGTCCTTTGTGGAACCTTTTGAACCTCTCCAATAGGATCAGGCTTCTTACTGGATCCTTTATTTGTAGAAGTGTATATGTGTGCAAAGAACCACCCTTTTCATAAACTGTGGTATCAGACAGATCAAACACAGACATGTTTATTTTGTACCTGAGAACGGCGAACCTGTTCTAAGTGTGCCTGCGTTAATAAGGTCTCTTATTCTAATCTTAAAATTGTGATTTGAGCTTTCTTTGCAGCGTCGCATAAAGCACAACTGCAAACATAATTTTGAGTAAGTGATGGATGCACACTAATAACATTTGACATAATATTAAGGCACAAGTAACGTGGTGTTGGACAAACAGGACATTTTCACATAGTTTCTGGGAACAAGTACATTTCACACCTGTTTAACTCACAGCAGCTATCAGCTCAATTGTTCCCTCCCCCACATCACTGATGGCCTTGGTCGAGCAGTGTTTGGACACAGGCTGGGCAAGACTTACTCCCTGCTCCGGTCTCAATGCTGAGACTATG